AGCGGATAGATGTTAGGAGTTAAGATCTAAATCATGTTATTCATCTTGTGGCTTACATAACACTTATGCCGGCAGAGCAAGTAACCATGGGGCATAGGGTGTGTAAACAAACAGTTGGTTGGAATCCAGCGTTAGCTCGCGTCCTTCAGTTTGCGAATTGCGTGGTAACTTTACCGCCATAAACCAGCACGTTTTACGCAGAAGAAGTGCATTGAGGAATCGACCCATGATATTAACAGCAACATTTTCCCATGCCCGTATGGACTAATGGAGCTGCTAAACCCTTCGCGCTGTTGTCCGATTGTTGACAAGCTTTTCAATTTCTAACTACAAAACACTGGAATTTACCTTCCGTCACCAGAAGCAGTCGCGTAGTTGGACCTTCGTTCGCAACTTACCAGGGTTTCTCTCAAGTGTGCATTCGAAAACGGTCGGAATAAGGCTCTGAGGCATCATCAGCTGTTCGCCTCCCATACTGCAATTGCCCACTATTGAAGGCTCGTGACGTAAGGTTGGATTCCAGTGGGGCTAGTCCACGCATTAGGCAGATATTCCCTAAGTTTCATTGGGCTGGGAGTTCTGTCGGTATGTTCGCGTATTTGGTCGAGCTTTACGGCAGAAATCTACATTCTCTCCTTCTTTTGATAGTGGAAGCCACGAAATACCATCGTCAACCTGGTCGGCATCCCCGGTAAGTCTCTGCTCTCGTAGTCGTAATTTAGCAGGCGTGAGTACCAGTGGCCTTTAACCATTATTACCACGGAGCAGTAAGGTCGTAAGGGCATAGTGATCAGTACACAAAATGAATAGACACCAGAATAAGTAAAATTACTACTTCTCACAGGTCCTAGTATAAGCCAGAGCCACTTTTTCACCACTAAAATAAATCCTTTCACTGTCTGACAAAGTGCATGAGGCTGATGCTGCCTCTTTCTCTTCACCATGGTGTAACGGCCCCTCAAGCAACCTCCGAAGCATCTATTGAAACAGACGTTAGAAAACGTTCGCTGAAAATCGCTTCCAAAGAGGTGGACGCAACCATCATCGAAATGGCCAGATAAGCTTCCTCTTGTTCTTTGGTCCAGTGGAATTATTCTTTTTGATGTGTCAATTTCCTCAACAGCTCAGCAATAGTCACAAATTTGGATAACTGTTGGAGAACACAGACCCAAGAAATGTTTCCCGGGTGTGCTATTGCACGGTTTAGGGCTGTCAAGTATAGTTTCGTTGTTTTGACTATTTGGTCTAATATCACTAGTAGAAAGCACATACCCGATGTGTTCCACTTCAGTCACAGAGAACTGACACTTGCTAACGTGCAAGTGAAGGTTGAGCTCATTCAGCCTAAGCATTGCTTACCGAAGATTTTACCCATGTTCAGTAGTGTTACTACTGAAGACCCAAATGTCACTCAAGTAAACAATACATATTTCGAGATCGGGTAGGGAGAAACTGACGAATTGCTACCAAGTGGTTGGTGCAGGTCCATCCGTAACAATCTTTCCTGGTATATAACTCGTCTTGTGTGAGAAATGCAGCCAAATGTTGACCATCGGGAGTCAGTAGCATGTGGTGGTATGCACTCCGAATATCTAGTTCCTAGAAGAGCCTAGCGTTGGAGAGCCTGGCCATCAGTTCATCGGCAAAAGATGTAAGAATGTATTCGCAAGTGGGTGCTTCTTATTCATTCGCAAGGCGGTACGCACATGTATAGATCCAGCATTCTTTTGAACTGCAACAAAAGGAGGAACCCACTCGGAACGTTGCATCGGTTCGATCAAATCGTCTTTGACTGTCTGTATAGAAGCTTTCGACAAAGCCTCGTGTTTTACCAAGCGTTGGGGCCTAGGTTGTGAAATAATTAATCTACGGTAATCCACCTTCAGGGGACTGCGACGCATTTTCTTTGCTAATGTCAAAACGGAAAAGGTATGGGTAGCTAGAGTGAAGTGAATTGAGATGGCCATTGACAGTTGTCATTCCGCTGGCATTAGGAGATATATTTAAGAATACCTTGGTGTTCCGTCTCAGCAGGGGCTTATTGTCTTTCTTAGAAAGGTAGACCTCAACTGCACACTTTATATCTTCTCGAAGAAATAATGGAACTATAAATAAGCCCATAATTTATACAACAACACGGGTGGAGCCATTGAAAGTGTAGGCTGACTGAGGCTTGGATAGACGGTAGAAAAACTTATCACAAAAGCTGCATGGAAATTCTGTGTTAGGTATGTAGTGAACATGCAACATTTACGCTTTCAGTATTTTGTGACAGGAGTTTTATTCTTGTTTGTATCTCCCAGTCGTGAACCACATCTGCGAGGCCACATTGTTACTGAATAGACATTTGTGACTACCATAAGGAGGAAGCTTGGCATGCGAAAGTTTACCGCGTCCCGGAACACCGGTGCCAAACTATTTGCTGGAATGAGATAAACTCGAATCACCCGGCTGGTACAACGGGGATTTTGTTCAACGAGCCAGCCGTCAACTATACAAACGGCAAGCCTGTTTGTCTTGTACCAGAAATTAGTGCTTTTCATATGCTGGTGTCGTGTACAGTATCGCATCGACGTTTCTCACTAATCTGCATCGCTTCTCTCGAAAGTGAAATAGCACCCCTACACACCAGACTGCAGGATCCTCCGACAACACGATGAAGCCTAACCCTACAAAACGTACATGCATATTTCCACTTTACCTTGTCCCGGAATAGCAAAAGTCGTTTCTAAAGAAAAGTACTAAGCAGATGTGAGTAGACCGGTGACCGTTGAGACAATTATCTTCGATGATTAGGTTTTCCGACAATGAAGTACGGTTCCAGCAGTCACCCACAAAACACCAGTAGTTTTAGCGTGTTTGGATGTAGCTGAATTGCACCTTTTTATAGTCTGCTCCGCATGCTCCTCGTTGTATGAATTTACTAATTAATCACACATATAGTCACGCACACATATGATGGTAGCGCCAAGGTCGAATATGGAGATTAATTACCCCGAATTTTTACGCCGAAATTCAGCATTTCTGGACCCAGTCAGACAATTGTCACATTATACGTCCCTTTCATCCTTTCCGGCATCGTCAGCATTGCGCATTCGATCTGACTTCTGTGGGGCTCGAATTCGCAACTTTACTGTTTTGTCGTGGGTTGGACCACTGGGCTACGGGGGACAGCAACGATTGATGTGACTAATTTACTGGAAGTGGTATAGCGCCTCACTTTATCAACTGACTTGCACGTTACTTCCACGTATAGGACAGGACAGTCCTTTCACCCAACAACAAACATCACAAACTAAGCATCGTTAACTTATGGTCTTATAAGCAGTTTGGTCTACGTACTGATTAAGGTAGAGCAGTGCGGGAATGGAATGGTGATGGTACCAGGAAAGCCACTTGCGCCTTAAACCTCCAGTCATCGTTGTCTGAGCCATGATTAGTGCGTCCTGTATGCATTGACAGGGGTGGCGTTGAAATCTGAAGAACACGGATATTCAGAACTCACCTTATCTGGAAGGAGCGCATGTTGCTTAGTGACCATTCTGGTACAGCGGAATCTCCGGTGAGCGAAGTGTTTGTTAACAGAATTCTGATTGAAGTTTAATCACTTCGACATTGTTCCGACTTCTTTGGTTTCGCATGTTTCGATCCGCTCACACCACGGCTGAGTAAATGGTCAGAAAGCATTCAGTAATAGTGGTTACAGCTGTCCTAATAGGACGGTAAAAGAGCTCGAAGCGCCTGGCTCCAAATACACTAATGGTTACTGATGGAACTGATATTCGCCTCATCTTTAACTGCGGTCCACCTTGAGATTACGTGTCACAATACAGCCACACAACGGGTGTTTCAACTGGATCAGCAATCAGGGAAAGTACGTACTTTATATAATTCCAGCAATTCCTGGTAGAAGCAGAATCAGAAGGCACTTCCCAATTCAGCTCTGACGCCTGTGCAACGTTCGCAGCTCAACAGGCATCTACATGTGTATGCCAGAGTACACTGACAAAGATGGTAATGGCTAGAAGTTAATGCTAGTCCCACCTGGCCAGTACTGACCAGTAAGTTAACTCTAACCTTCAGGTTCAGTTTGCCAAACGTATGCTCACGTAATCTATTTAGCATGGTTCGCTGTTCTCGTTTTTTTAACTAAGCTGCTTGAAATAATGAAATCGTGGGATTGAGTAGTACTAGCGGTTGTGTCTATCCGCACTGGCAAAACGATCCACATAAAGTAAGCAGTAGACAATCACCTGACCTGTGGCCAAATTTCTCCGAATCGCGTAAAGGTTATGACCTTAGAATGTATAATGGGTTCACGTTGATAACCGAAGCTCAGCTAATCCCAAAACGTTTGACCAGTGTTCACCAACGTGTCTGCGCCTGTCTCATACACACACCTGTCTACTGGACGTGACACTCCGTCATTCGGGAAGACGGTGGGCACACTGATACTGGGAAGGCTACACAAGGTTATTGGTTCTGGGGGAATTAAGGGATTTGTTTCGGCAAGCCAACTTAGTTTCTAAGTTGGTCGTTCGAGTTGAGCAACCCTGGCGTTAGAAAGGAGGTAGAAAATTAGCTCCAGAGGCGAACGTCAGTGGTGTTCACTACCACAGAACGTTTCACGCGTTGGTGTTTATAGTTTAAACTGTTTGCTTGACTGTAGTGACAAAAGTCGAAACTCACAACCCCCGTTGTGGAGTAACCATTACAACTCGATTCAACGGCCTGGAAAGAGTAGCGTACGGAAAAGGGGCTATCTCCATCGTCGGTGTTTTTGCCTGAGCAGTAAAAACCAAGTTTTCCACTTTTGCCAACCTGTTGCACCGTTTGCTGAGGCTGAAGACAATACGTGTGGCACGTGTGCGTATACCGCGCAAGGAGTGCGTCTCAGCCAACCGACTGGAGGCCCATTGCGAGCGATTGACAGGTCAGGAGACAACGCGATTCGTGGATTGATGTCTATTGCACTAGATAGCACGCGTGGATAGCTAACTGCACTTGGTGGGCGTGTGCGTATGTGTGTGCGGTTGGAGGGCGTACGTTCCGCGTACAGACGTGTACCAAACCAGGCAATCATTTACAGCTGAGGATGTGTGCTAAACTCTACCACGGAGCGCCTCCATCGTGGATCTTGGCTTCCATGTCCTCCCCGTGTCCTCATTGACCCTGTGGTACAATCCAACAGCCACAGTAGGACAAAGGGAACTATATCAAAGGGTCAGTTCAACAAATCAAGTATTTGTACCCAAAGGTGAGTTCTAACGGTGTGATTAGTTGTCGATGCCTGTACATCTACCAATACCAGCTGAAAAGTGAAGATTTAGATTTCCAGTCGTCATTAGTAGCAATCGTAATAATAAGTAGGCCCGCTGAAGCCTCAGCTAAAAATAACTTCCTCCTGAGGGTATTATAACTGCCTCAGTCTGAAGCACAATCGGTTCGCATAATGTAAAATGTTTATTTACAACTCGGTGATATTTTTCTAGCGACATTGTCAGGGAATAGTATTCCCATGAGAGATATGTATAATTGGAATATCCAGATAGTTTTTTTTATACTTAAAATTCATCTATATCATTGGTTCGCAAGCTAGGGGTAATTACCCCCAAGGGAGTAAAATGGAATTTTACAGAGGTAAATATAACTACGGGGATTGGGTCATACATCTGTTGCCGAACAAAATGAATAGCAAAGTCATCTGTTTCCAAACCGAACCAACTACCTACGCATTATAGATGAGCCGTCACTGACAAATCATTAGTGAGTGGTTAGTGAATTAGACGATTTCCGGCGATAAATTTTGCAACCTTTAATACGAATACAAGCTTGCAAAGCAGCGCAGCTTGATGGTACCTCTATCGGCACACTCGTCGGCTCGTTGTTCTTCTTAGTCAGGTGCTCCTCTACCGGAACGAATTACAGTTGAGTGAACAGCAAGGCGGGAGCATAGGTCAGCTAACCAGGTAACGGAGGGAGCGAACATTTACCAGGTAGAAGAAACAAACAGGCGATTTATGTTCAGGACGTATCGATGCGTAGTGAGGGTGAGAAACTGTCCTGCAGGACGGACTTATAAAGGATGGTGGAAACAGATGAGAAGCCATTAATAGCTGTTCATGTTTGACGAGGGAGCACACATTAAAACAAGGAACTGAATGAACTTAGAGCATGACTTGCAACATGTACTAGCTGAAACCACACTAAACATACCAGAACTTGTTACAACTAGGCAATATCAACCGTTTCTTCGAAGTGCATCACCACATGAAGTAGTGAAAATTTTCTTAAAATATATCTTCTATTTATTTTATTGATCGATAGTACTTAAGAATGGTTTCACTCTCCGCAATGCAGAGCAAAAAATGCAATTGTTATTAGGTAATTACCTTACAAAATAAAACTTTCGCTGGGGTAAATGTTTATGCTGAATCCGCTTTGTAGGTAACAGCCTCAGAAACATTGAGAATCACTGACCTAAGTGGATAGATTCCCTGTGGCGCTATTGTATATCAACTGTGCTACAATTGCAGCTCCGCTTGCTCTCTGCACATTCCCTGCTCGATACGCTTTTAGCCTGGATGGAATCCTGGAAGGGAGACTCTAACATGCTCACGTGTCAGCTGATTAGACTGCTCGAGGCTTCTGTTAACTGAAACACTGAGTCCCCTTCAACCACTTCATTAACGCAGTAAGAAGACATAGGTTGCGAAATGTTAACATTTCGATTGCTCTCCTCAGTCGCTACACAATACAGGCAGAACGAAATATGCAATAATTACGGTTCACAATTAGTAACATAGATAAAGTGATAACATTGATGTGAATGACGTAATCAGGTCCAAGAAAATCTAATTGGTTGCCTCAGTCGTTGCTGTGCACAGAGCGCGGGACAATTCATACTGATCAGTGGTACCTCGCCAATTGCCAACAACGTCGGGTTCCTGTTGTGCCTCTGTTGTTGGCAGTGAGAGCAGGCGCTGGGCACGGAATGTGCTCGACTGGAGAAAAACGAGGCGCCTAGTCCAGTCTCTGTTGGGCTTCAGTTTGTGATATCCGATCCGTGAATCAACGAGTGGTACTCTCCCCCTTAAATTACACCCTGATTTGGATACAGTTGCAAAAATTTGGATGACAGTTGTTCCCTACAACCTCAGCCACAGGATGTGATCCGATGCAGAGCTCGCTACGTTTCACTGAAGGCTAAGTGCAAGTGGTCCGTGGACACCACATATAGTATTCAACCAGTAGGACCACATAAGCCCATTACTCATGGAGCCACGTTTGGGAAGTTTCAATATTGTAGTTTGATGATATGTGCTAGAGAGGCCTTTTGTTCTTGTTGATATCATTTCCAATTTTCTCACACGCATTGATTTGCCAAAGTTCACAAGCAAATGTGTTACGAGCTTGAGTGCGTGAGAGTAACACTTTATTTGGCTCCTGCTTTAATATTGGTGGCATCATGGCACATTTTGGAAACCGTAAAATATTAGACAATATTGTGTTTTCTCAAGTACATCTAATAGATAAACAATGTGCAGAGCAGCTCTCTGGTGACAAACGTCCGGTGGAACATCCTAGTAACTCGTGCCGGAAAAATTGCCTTTGATGAAAAGTCATGGACACATCGTATCACATCTTTTATTCTTGAGCGCCGATCATAAACAGATGCTGAGTGCCTTTGCGGTGACCTGTGTCATATTCACCTAACCAATTTGGACGTCCCACCTAAATTCTTGAAAGATCCTAATGGATCGACCATACAGTTGTGCAACTACTAAGATCTGGTTCCTGACTAGCGTTGATAGTTGTGAGCACGTGACCACATGTAATGAACTATTTTACGAAAATGTTTATTGATTTATTCTCAGTCATCGGTGCTTGTTAGCCAGGCGGCGGTCAGTTGATTCACCGATCCATTCTGCCGAGGCTGGAACTGCGAGTGTCGTAACAGCTGGTTGTGATGCAGTGCGGCAATAGTCACCCAAGCGTTAGCTCGACGCTTTGTTGATGTGGTCCACCGACGTGCAGCGAGAATGACGCTTAGGCGACTGACGAATGCGTGGATCACAATCTCATCATCAGAATTAACAATACAGTTACCGTAAATGCAAAAGATGGTTTAGCTGCACTTTCCCTCTTGTTTCATCATAAAGAGTAAAAACTTTTCACTTTTGAGGGATTTCCACTTTCCAGTCGTTTGCTTGTGAAGTGACAGAGGTTCCGGTGGGAGTATTCAATATTTAATTCTAATGCAGACTTGCAACGTCTATTAAAATCGTCAAGCCCACAAAAATATCGAAAAATGAAGCGATTGCTGTCACCGTTTTGTCAGCCTCATATCCTAATTTTTAAAAGCATGAGTTTGACCGCTGAAGCCGATGGGATGAACATCGAGATTCGCAAGTGATATTTCACCAAACATCAGCCGCGAACACCTTATTTACCATCCTCATACAAAGGACGAGCTTGCTACTCCTTTGTAATCCTATCGGCCAAGGAAAAGTTTGAAGGCGTTCACTAACGCGTCAGAATTAACCTCCAGCTTATGTCTGTCAATTGGCAGGCACTCTTCGGTTTTGACAGGCCCCATGAGGCTGTCTCACGATCAGATGATGGAAACTGGGGCGTTCATGCATGCCGCAATTCAGCAGCAGCAGCAGCAGCTCGCGAAAGTAACTGGGGGTGTTTGTGCGACCGTGCAAAACGCGTGGCCTAAACTAGCTTTCTTAATCCCCAACACCCACCGCCGTCCAAGATGCAACACAGGATAAAGCTGGTAAAGCTAGTTGACAACTTGTCATTTTGCCGTCCCAATCCCCTTGTGCCTTCTTAACTAACGCGAACAAGTCTCGTGCTCACGGGAGCGATCCTCAGCTCATAATAAGCCCATAATTCCCTTTTTTGCATCGGTGAAAACGCTCTTATCCACTCACCAGCAAATATATAGCGATGCGAGCACAAAATGGCGCAGTTGATTAGCGTATAATCTACTTACTACTCGCGTTGTCAAGTAATAATGGACGCGGATAACGTGAAATTGTCTGAGAACCGGGTTCCAGTTTTCTTGATTAAGCAATGTGCGGACCCTTTATGGACTAAACAATCTAGTCGCTGAATATGTCTGTAACCAGTCGCCATTATACTAACGCTTCAGTTCCGTACCCTCTCAGTAGTAGGGAATGTTCCAAAAGTGCACTCTTGGTGGTATGGTACTACAGTTGTAGCCTCAATCACTGCTGTACATTTGTTGAAATTGGATTACCTCTACAATGCTTCGTTCCCACAGTATGGCGATTTCACCTCATCTAGTGCGTCCGCACACCCCCTATTTCGCCTAGCCATAACAGAATCAAACATGTGGCCCTCAGGGTAACGGATGGAAGTAGGTTGCTGACCGACCAATCTGCTTGGTGATTCTAAACGAGGTGTATCCACCACGTTTACTCCATACACATAACTGGATTGAATCAGAAAGTTCCATTTGGTAACGCCTGCCTTCGTTTCCTGCACCCATAACCGTATATCAGATTACCTCAATAGGTCGATCCATCGGTAATGGACAGCATACTTTTGCATCATCTACTTCAGAATACGAATGTAGCCAGACAGCCTTGACAGCGGAGAAGATCTGCGAGTGATCGAAATTTGAAGGGAAGCTGACGCTTATGGGCCAAAGATTCGGCAGACGTATCAAGGGCGTAGGGATCGGTTACGATGTGCATCCACCCATAGGGATCAAACTGATTATTCCTCAGTGACATTGGTGAACACTGTCCACTCCAACTGTATACAAATGCGCCGGTGTAATACGCACAGCACACTATCTTTACTCGTCGACTGTTTCACAGTGATGTGCAAAGTGCCACCTGGAGGACTACCGTTCACAAAGGTGAGGTTAGAGCAACTTTACTCGTAGTTGGAGCCGGGTCATGTAGCCATCATTCCTATCGATAACATAGACAGTTTAGAGCTCGATCTTACGCACCTGACGGCTGTTTACAGAATGTTGTAACTTGGATGAAGCGCTTTAAAGACGGGTGGAAGTTGTCAAGAGTATGCTTGCTTTGTTTGTCTATCTCACTAATCGGTCATTTGGGAACCGATGTTTAGATTAATCGTTGTGGTGACCAATTACAAGATTCATTCGTGCAACCTTTCGTTGAGCAGTTCACAGCTCTTCTTGGTCACCCACGGATGTCCTACGTAAGTCAAATGTATGCAACAGTTTTAGTTAGGAACCTGCATTGC